GGGCCTACCTCCTCGATCTCCTTTGTGGGGCGTGACGGGGAAAACGCAGAAATTAAAAAGGCTGGAAATGTTTCGTGCTTAAAAGAATCAATAACTGTCATGAATTCCTGCAGCTGTCAGGTGATTCGAGGTAAACACAGTAGAGATATGAATGAACCGAAGGGAGGGAAGGCAAACAAACGTGCTGGATAATTCCCATCAGCCCCAGCGCTCTCAAAGTGTTTCCTCATGATGAGTCTGAGGTGTTCTGTACCTCTCTGATCTCGTCTTTGGCCTGCTGCAGTTTGTCGGGTTTGTTGGCGTGCTGTAGTTTGGCTTCGGCTTCTCTCTTGCGCTGCAGCATCACCTGAGCATCCTGGCATTTGGCCCATGTTTTCATCCGCTGGTCAAACACGCCCTGCAGCACAGACACGTGACAAAACCAGCGCATCATGAAGCCCTGCACTCATGCATGGGGTTATAGGAAGCCAGAATAGCCATTGCTCTAACACCAGCCTGACATGGCCAAAATATCATGACTGAATCTCATATCACACTATGAGTGATTTTACATCACATTAACATACCGTATGTCATAATAGTTATTTATGATGCACATGCAATGAAAAATAGTTTAACCCCGTGCGCTCCTCATGGTCTTCACGGTCAAAAGTGACCGGACACCTGAAATGTAACTTTTTTTTTCTTCAGTAAAATCAATCTAATATATTTTTGTTCAATAATATTTTTGTGTATTTTGAGAGAATTTTATGGTACTAATTAATATTTATGCAATAATTATGATAAATTTTTCCCATTCAAAATAGTTCAAAAGAAATTTTTTCTAATTTAATTATTTTTCAATTAATGCAGTATTTCAGATTAAACCATATATATATCAATATATCAAAACTTAATTTTTGATTAGTAATATGCATTGATAAGAACTCCATTTGGACAACTTTAAAGATGATTTTCTCAATATTTAGATTTTTTTGCACCCTCAGATTCCAGATTTTCAAATAGTTGTATCTCGGCCAAATATTGCCCTATCATAACAAACCATACATCAATGGAAAGCTATTTATTCAGCTTTCAGATGATGCATAAATCTCAATTTTGAAAAATTGACCCTTATGACTGGTTTTGTGGTCCAGGGGCACATATGTCTTTGATTTAAATGCACTGTACTTTTGTTTTCCTCATGTGTGTTGAAGTTTATTGTAAAACCAGACGTCTCTTTGGCCAGATGAAACACTCAGGATGTCTTCCACTCACTTTAACGGCGGTGATGAGCCGCACATAGTCTCCCAGCAGCTCTGAGATCAGGTAGAAATCAGCGCAGGCCTGATCCTGATGCAGCTGGTCGATCTTCTCCTCCACCTCGGCCAGCTGGGACAGAGCTCGCGACAGCGCCGTGTGATCCTCCGAGTTTCCCAGCATAGCCGCGCTTTTAGCGAACGACGCCGTGTTCACAGACAGCTCTGAGAGTCAGAGAGTGAAGAGTCAGTATGCAGCATATACGCTACTGGTCACAAATCTGGAATAGTTATGAAGGCTCTTCTGCTCACCAAGACTGCATTTATTTGAGCAAAAATACAGTAAAAATGTGAAATATTATTATTAATTAAAACAGTTTCCACAAAAATATTGTGCAGCACAACTGTTTTCAACATAGTAATAATAATCAGAAATGTTTCTCGAGCAGAATATTATACTGATTTCTGAAGATCATGTGACACTGAAGACTGGAGTAATGATGCTGAAAATACAGCTGCGCATCACAGAAATGCATTACATTTTTCTCTGCATTCACATAAAAACAGCTGTTTTAAATAATAATAATATTTCACATTTTTACTGTATGTTTGATCAAATAAATGCAGCTTTTGTGAGCAGAAGAAACTCTAAATCATTAAAAATCTAACCAACCCCACACTGGTAGTGTATAAGATCATAAATATAACTCATAAAACACGTGTTCTTAATATTTCTATGATGTTATTGTTTGTATTATGAGCGTGTCTTACCCTTCCTGTTAAACACCAGTGATTCCACACTAGCGTGAAGTTTTCTGAGCTGAACGTCCAGATTCTCAAACTGCTGCTGTTTCTCCTCAAACCACTTTATACAGGAACACACAAACACTTCGTCCAAATGATGATGATAACAGTATGCATGCTTCAAAATAAAGCTTCAAAATAATATTTTTTTCTTAGTGTGTATAACCATTTAAACATTTGAAAGGTTCCATAAAGATCAATTATGAGCCTTTATTTTTAGAGTACAAGCTGTGTCATCTTTCTTAAAAGTCTAAATTCATGATTACATGTAAGTCTGATAGATGTGTGACACTGTACTGACTGTAATCTGTGTTCAGTGTATTAAGAGCACACGTGTGTCACATGCCCTGACCCCCCGCTCTCACACACACAGACACACACACACACACACACACACACACACACACGTCTGGTTTGCTATCCTTGTGGGGACTCTACATAGGCATAATGCTTTTTCTGCTGTACAGACCGTATATTCTATTGCCCTACACCAACCCTACCCCTAAACCTACCCCTTACAGGACACTTTCCACATTTTTAGATTTTCAAAAAACTTAATTCTGTGTGATTTATTAGCGCACACACACATACACTCACACACGCACACTCACACACACTCTCACTCTCACACTCACTCACACTCACTCACACGCACACGCACACACTCACACTCACACGCACACGCACACACACTCACACTCACGCACGCACAGTCACACACACGCGCACACACTCACACGCGCACACACGCTCACACACACACACACACACACACACGCACACTTCCGGCCCCACTCAGCGCCTGTGTGCTAACCGCTCGCGGCAGCTGGGATAAAATGACAAATAAGGGCAAACAATCTGGTTAACAGGCCGCGGCTCAGACCCGTCCCGCGGGGAGCGTTTCTCCTCCCGCAGCGCACTGGGATTTTCTCCAGTCCCATACATTTCAATGCCGGTCCAATTTAATACATTTCACCCTGGAAAACTCTCAGAGGGCCCGCGGGCAAAAATAGCTTTCAATCGGCCCGAGCGTTTAGCCCTTTACAATTGCTGCAGTCTACCATTATACATACTTAATACAGACACTCTCGGCGCTCACGCCAAAGCCACTTCTGGGCCTATAAAGAGAAAATAAGGGACTGGAGGAGCAGAGATTCATTGGATCTGTTCTGTTATTTAGGAGAACTGAGAGCGACGATCAAAAGCGTGATGCTATTAACACAGGTGACTTTACGTAATATAATGTACTTCTCTCACTTGAATTTAATGAAGAAAACACAATTGTTCCTTTCCATGTATAAACTGATGTCAACATGGTTCATCTGAAACATCCGCAGGCAGTGTTTTCAAGAGAATCGACTCCAAAGCGCCAGGAAAACAGATTCATATGGAAACTTGTTTCCGCCCAGGAACAAAACAATAAAAAGGGTAACTGTGACTTTTCCCTTGCAATTCATAATTTATATCTCATAATTCAGAGTTTATATCTCAATTCAGAGTTTATATCATAATTCAGAGTTGATTTCTCAATTCAGAGTTTATATCTCAATTGAGAGTTTATATCGCAATTGAGAGTTTATATCTCATAATTCAGAGTTTACATCTCATAATTCAGAGTTTACATCTCATAATTCAGAGTTTATATCTCATAATTCAGAGTTTATATCTCAACTCAGAGTTTATATCATAATTCAGAGTTGATTTCTCAATTCAGAATTTATATCTCAATTCAGAGTTTATATCTCATAATTCAAACTTTATATCTCAATTCAGAGTTTATATCTCATAATTCAGAGTTTATATCTCAAAATTCAGAGTTTATCTCATAATTCAGAGTTTATATCTCACAATTCAGTTTATATCTCAATTCAGTTTATATCTCACAATTCTGACTTTTTTCCTGTAAATTCTGAGTTTATATCTCACAATTCAGAATTTATATCTCATAATTCAGAGTTTATATCTCACAATTCAGTTTATATCTCACAATTCAGTTTATCTCATAATTCAGAGTTTATATCTCACAATTCAGAGTTGATTTCTCAATTCAGAGTTTATATCTCACAATTCAGTTTATTTCTCAATTCAGAGTTGACTTCTCACAATTCAGTTGATTTCTCACAATTCAGAGTTAATTTCTCAATTCAGAGTTTATATCGCACAATTAATTTTATTTCTCACAATTCAGAGTTTATATCTCACAATTTAGAGTTTATATCTCCCAATTCAGAGTTTGTATCTCGATTCAGAGTTTATATCTCATAATTCAGAGTTGATTTCTCAATTCTGAGTTTATATCTCAATTCAGAGTTTATATCTCACAATTCCGCCTTTTTTCCCGTGAATTCTGAGTTTATATCTCACAATTCAGAATTTATATCTCATAATTCAGAGTTTATATCTCACAATTCAGTTTATATCTCAATTCAGTTTATATCTCACAATTCTGACTTTTTTCCTGTAAATTCTGAGTTTATATCTCACAATTCAGAATTTATATCTCATAATTCAGAGTTTATCTCAATTCAGAGTTTATATCTCTATTCAGAGTATATATATCTCACAATTCAGAGTTTATATCTAACAATTCAGAGTTTATATCTCATAATTCAGTTTATATCTCACAATTCAGTTTATCTCATAATTCAGAGTTGATATCTCATAATTCAGAGTTGATTTCTCAATTCAGAGTTTATATCTCACAATTCAGAATTTACATCTCATAATTCAGAGTTTATATCTCACAATTCAGTTTATATCTCACCATTCAGTTTATCTCATAATTCAGAGTTTATCTCATAATTCAGAGTTTATATCTCACAATTCAGAATTTACATCTCATAATTAAGAGTTTATATCTCATAATTCAGTTTATATCTCACAATTCAGAGTATACATCTCTTAAATATTATATCTCTTAATTCAGAGTTTATATCTCATAATTCAGTTTATATCTCTCAATTCTGAGTTTCTATATCATAATTCAGATGATATATCTCATAATTCAGTTTATATCATAATTCATAGTTTATATCTCATAATTCAGAGTTTATATCTCATAATTCAGTTTATATCTCAATTCAGAGTTGATTTCTCATTTCTCACAATTGACTTCTCACGATTCAGTTAATTTCTCAATTCAGTTTATATCTCACAATTCATTTTATATTTTATTTCAGAGTTGATTTCTCACAATTCAGAGTTGACTTCTCACGATTCAGTTAATTTCTCAATTCAGTTTATATCTCACAATTCATTTTATTTCTCAATTCAGAGTTGATTTCTCACAATTCAGAGTTGACTTCTCACGATTCAGTTAATTTCTCAATTCAGTTTATATCTCACAATTCATTTTATTTCTCAATTCAGAGTTGATTTCTCACAATTCAGAGTTGATTTCTCAATTCAGAGTTTATATCTCACAATTTAGAGTTTATATCTCACAATTCTGAATTTATATCTCGCAATTCGCGGTTTATATCTCTCAATTCGCAGTTTATATATCTTGCAATTTTGAGTTCATATCTCACAATTATGAGTTTTTATCTCACAATTCAGAGTTTATATCTCACAATTCAGTGTTTTTATCTCACAATTCTGAGTTTTTATCTCACAATTCAGAGTTTTTATCTCACAATTCAGAGTTTATATCTCACAATTCAGAGTTTATATCTCACAATTCTGAGTTTATATCTCACAATT